GGTTTTGGTGAGTCGACCACAATGAAACCAAAATGACTACGCGTCAATAACAGGACCTTTTCCTCTGAAATGTAGAAGAGAAGGAAAAGTTTAGCAAATTATTACTGCGCAAACGATGCTTCCAAACAATTATTCGCGTGACGTAATTTTCGCGTGACTCACTAATAACTCTTACAAGAAAAAGAAAATCAGCCATGCGATTCATGCAAACCTCTCCCAGTGTAAATTTAAAGTATTAAAAATCAGCTGTACTTATTATATGTGCACCCAACGCTATCAGTCATGTACACACAGCTTACAGTTTATATACTTACCGTGTTCAGGTTCTCAATCTTCTGACGAAAGTGAAACAAAAGTGATAGAAACTGGAACAACACTGGAGCAACACTGGGGGGTTTCCCTACAAGACAGTAGGAGATCCTATAGGAAGTCAAAATGATTTAAAATTGAAATATGTTTCAAACGTTGAGCAAAACAATTAAATAAAAATATTCGAAAGTATGTCACATTTTTTTCCTATCTGCGTTCTTTGTTAAATACTCAATACTGACCGTAGAGTCCAATAGCTTTCGAAGTGCATTGAGGTTTTTTACCATAGCTAATAATTAGTGAAATAGTTATCAAGCTAGACAAAGTTCTTTGTTGTCTGTTGTTTTCCGCTCTTTGGTTTAACCGTAGATAAAACACAATAGGTGTTAACTCAGTTCTGACTTATTGGTTAACCAACATAACTGTTTCGATTAACCCTTGGAATACCAAACTTTCGCCAAAAAATACCGTTTTTAACCGTTTAGCTATAGTCAGGTTTTTTAGCTGCCATGACGCTAAATAAGCCTAAGTTTTGCTAAAAAAGCTTTTTTTACTAAAAGGAGAGCTTTTTCGAGGATTAGGTACAAAATTGAGCAGAACTTCAATTCTGGGCATGCGCATAAGCCTAAATTTGGACTAATGACGTTAACTACGGGCGAAGCCTAGAAATGGACCTTGACCAATCATAGGCGTAGTGGACCATTTTACCACCGTTTTTGCACCAAAACTGATAACGTTGTTTTTCGATTTGCGACGTCGGAATGTTGTCAATATCTAAACCTGACCATTGTGCGGAAAGGCCTAGCCTAGTACTACTATCTGCTTATCAGGAATATCTGATTACATTTAAATTGATGATGTCACAAGTGGTACAAAGACACGACCATTAATTACGCATATATGCGTAGTTGGTATTCAAAGGGTTAATTAATTTTAAATGAACTGTTTATGATCGCAAAGCGAAAGATTTTTTGCAGTCCTTGACCATCCAGAATAAATCGCATGAATCTCTTGTGAAAGCTGCTTTTGCCATCGTTCTGTTGTAAAATATGGAAGACCGCGAATTAACTTTTCATCAGTTTGCACTTTATAACATACCTTGTGCGATTTGGGCGAATTCATACTTTCGTTTTCCCATGGTGACAGACATCAGATCTGACAGAGCTAAAAACTTTGTTATCTACTAGAAAGCGGTAGAGCTTACAAGTAATCCTCTCTTTATGATTGTCTGAATATGGTCGTTATCGTAATCGAGCTATATATTATTCTAACTGGTTAAGATAAAAGCCAGACAATGGAAAGTTAGCACTGGCCGAAAAGCTGTAGTTACCACGGCGGAACTTGCTTTGGAAAGTGAAACTACGAAAACCGCTCGAGGGGTTCTAGATATTTCGATGAAACACTGATTGTCATAGTACGTCATGCACGGGAGATGTATTTCGAAGTTTTTAGAGTGTCAAAACATAAGCTTGGCGGGAGACGAGAAAAAGCTGAAAATGACCACGCGGGAGGTGGCCTGAGCGACAGGTGCTCATTTCAGCGAGGAAATGCGAGATAAATTTGATATTGAGGGACTATGAATAACAAAGATGAACTTTTTTTGCGTTCGCAGGACGCAGTTCATAATCTGGGGTCTACTGTGGTTTCAAGGGTGACCTATTTAGACATTTTTTCATCGAACGTCTGCATTTTCTGCGCCATTTTGAATGACGTCACAATCATATGCGCAAAGACTACCACGCATCTCAAGGTTTTCGTTGTGGTCTGAGCAAGTCTGAGCATCTAAAGACTACCTCGTGGTTTATAGTTTATTTTATATGTTCATGAACACGACTTTGAATCGCCATGGCTTTGGGATGTTTACCGTGGGAACAGCTATGTTTCATTGGCTGTAGTTTGATGTGGTTAGTGCAGGTTGCACAGAGCTGGTACGCTTTCGCGAGCTAAAATTTATCGGCCTGAATGTTCGGCGCGGGTTGCCCTATA